TATTTTTTTTTTTTTTTTCCTAACCCGAGCCTCCTAATGAGGCATAAACTGGAGCTGCAGCCCAGCTCCGCACTGCAACTTTCGCTCGGGCTGCAGCTCTGCCGAGACGGTTTTGTTTAAATCATGCGAGGCTTCATTATTTTTATGATGAGACATGAAATGCAAGCGGAAGATGTAGGTGGAAGGAGGGAGAGCGGCTGCGGCGCGGAACGTTGCAAGTACGACTCGAGTGGCTAATAGGCAAAGTTCATGCTGAATTGCAGCGTTTCCACACCCCTGACTCCCGGGGACAGAGTGGCAGGGAGAGTTTGGCGTTAGGACATGTTTGCTCTGTCCCGACCACGGGCGAGGAAGTCGGTCCTAGATGGGTTCCGGAGCCCTCTTCTCCTTACTTGCTGGAATTCACGAACCCCCACCTCCAAGAGTTGCAATTGCAACCTTTTGGTTCTTGTGGACACTTCTTCCTCTCCCCACTCTGCCATGACACAGTGTGTTCCCTACAAGATGGAAAAGTGACTCTTTGGGCAGGAGGGGTTGTTGGGGAGAAGTGGCCAGAAGAGCGAGATTCCGGGGAACCAGGTGCCTATGTCCTAATAGGTTCAGATGCAAACTGATGCAGCACATTTGTACGGGGCACTTCCCAGATAGCTGTTATGAAATACAACTCAGATTTATGATCTTTTTCATATTGAACATGATATGCTATGCTAACGCTGCATGTGACAGTTTAATCAAATCCATTTGTTACCACGAAGCTAAAAGGGGCCGCTGGGATTTTAGGATTACGGGCAGAGTTAGGGAAGCATGTGGCTTTGTCATTCGCCATCATTTTGCACACCGCCACGCTGCGAGGGGCTGAGTGTGCGCCGCGTCTCGTCTGGCCGCACTCGTCCCTTCCCCCACCCCCTGCCGCCACTCCGACCCGCTCCCAAAGTGGCTTCACAATAGTCGGTCCTCAGCGGGGTAGGCTGCGCACCAGGTCCGCACTTGAGCTAAATAAGGAGACCCCTTTCCGCGCCTACCTTTGAGCTCGGTCCTCAATGCGAAGCCGCTGCAACTCAGGCACGCCTAAATCAACTCATGCAGAAAAAGGAGAAAAGTTTTGGTAAGGTTACAATCTATCATGGATGCACTTAGCCGGCGCTCGGCACTCTTGGCTGCTCAAAAGCCTCCCTGCTCTTCCGCTGCTTTTGTGTCTTTCTAAAAGATCCAAAATATTATTGTTGTAACTGCTTTGAAAGACTGCTGCTTAAACCAATTAATCCGGCTAGGTGCAACAAATACTGCTACATTCTTTGCAAACCATCCCTGTGTGGATGCAAAGACACAACCACAAAAGGCTGGAGCATAACTCCGCCAGGGATTCTTTGTTAGAGTGTATGTATGTTTCTTATTTTTTTTTTTTTTTTTT